TTGAAACAATTTCCACTGCTAAATGTAAACAAGGCTTTCAGATACTCCTGTGATGTCGGGATGTAAAGACCAAATGAGATCCGTTTACACAAGCAAAATGAATATTTAAATAAAAAGCAGCCACCATCAAAAATGTTTTTAAAAATGCTGTTTTGGTTAATGCAACATACTGTATTTCTGCCAACAAAGGCAGTTTCTGATCAGGACATGCCGTGTTTTCCTCTGGAGATTTTGCAGGCAGGGTGGTCTTCCAAGAGGGACGGGAAAGGGCTTAGTTAACATTACACATCTTTCATATATGCAGGCTGGTAAATGTAAGGCATTACAGCTGTGCAGTTTGTCACCAAAAACTAAGCTGAAAGCAGTCTAAATACAGGAGACTGACAAGAATATGACCTAGTCACACTCAACACCTTTTATTCTCCCCCTCCATAATAAAGCAACTTCTCTTGTATTTGTGCAGCCAGAACTCCTTGGCCTTAGAGACAATGGTCACATGGAAAAGACAGGCCAAAAGGGATAGCACAAAAAATGCCATAGCAAAAGATTTATTATTTTCCCATAGTCTACAAAAGAAGACTGCAGCCCCATTATGCTACATTTGTTTATTTTGATAGGAAGAAAACTTTGTCACTGAACAGACTGCACTTCGTACCACTAAGAGCAAAATTCATTTCGGAGGCGGGAGCTGCTCTGAAGAACCAACCGCACACACGAGGGGGATCTGAGCAGTTGGCAAATCAAGTTGACTTCACTGGGACAACATATTGCTTCTATTTAAGAAAGCGTCCTCGATCAGTGCATGTTTAAATCCAGTGAGACCTGAGCACATGCTTAAAGTTAAACATATGCTGAAGTCTTTTCCTGAATCATATACATGTGAGGAAACACTTATCAGTTGGAATATGGTATTCATTCTCTTCTTCATCCCCTCTTTTCCTCTTTTAATTTCTAGAGTTTGAAATATCCTATGCAAAGAATTTATCTAAATTAATAGGGAGATGTTTATGCAATTGTATGTGCACAGCCATTACGAACAACCCTTTTTCATTTTATAAACACAAGAGGTATGATACTCACCTTCTAGGTTAAACAATTTACCAAGATCACTCTTTTCTATATTGACTGATTAAAAAAAATTGCAAGATGGAAGTTGTGTGCCTTTCTTTGAGAAGTAAAGTAATTCTGAGCCATAATATCTTACGGATACTAGTTCCAAGAAAATAGCTAGTATATCTATCATCCATATTATTAAAATTATTAATATTTTGCAGTATTTTGCATCCTGGATAAGCAAGTATTTGTAACAGGGCATTAATATAAGACCATCATGTCATTAGGAATACTCTCTGTTACTTCTGTGATTAAGGCTAAAAGGACTCAGAAAACATGCTTTTCATAGCTCTTGAATTCTGAAGGTTTTAGCTGTAAAAAATCAGCTCATGCAAAGAGGAATAGTTTAGGAAAAGATGCCATCACTTTTATTCACCTCAGCCAAAGCTTATGCTGAAAGAATTTCCACTGAAATAAATGGGATTGTTCATCAAGTCAAGCCTATGCAGTAGACATGCAAGTGGAGGAATGCTGCATGCAGTTTTAAAGCATCTCCTTTCTCTCTTATTCCCAAGTTACACTATAGTCAATATGTGTATTTCCAATTTCCAAGTGGCAGCAAGGTCACAACTTGATGGTGTTGATCCAGAAGCATGTGCCTTTACAACCCCAGCTAAGATGGCATCTCCAGCAAGTGTGATCAGTGTATGACCGAGTGTCTCTAAGGGCACGGTTGAACACACTGCTTAAGCCATGGCTAATTCCAGCTAAGTGTTTATGACCCTCCACATGTTTGCAGTGATGGTATCACCATCCCTCTTCCTTCTGCTTCCTCAGATTTGCCACATCGTTTGGCAGAATCTGGTTCCAGCTGTGGGGTTAAGGGAATGAATGAGGAGAATGGTTGGAATAGACAGGAACCTGAATCATCAGCAGCTGAAACAGCCCATTTGACCACACACCGAACCTGAGTAACAGTGCCAAAGTCACACATCAGCTGGTAAGCTTATTTAACTAGCTGTCTGTGATCCAGCTGGGTGTGTTAATGAACAAAGCTACTTTTCCCATCCATTACTGTGGTCTACGGCTACGAGGAGAAGAAAGGTATAGGCCCATCATAAACCAGAACGATCCCATTTAAAGTTGAGACATCCTTAAAATGTATCGCCACAGACATATATAGAGGAAGGATTTATAGACTGCATGCAAACCCTAGAACCATCAATAGGATAAAAACAAGTAATCAACAATTACACCTCAATTTTCCTTACTGTCAACACTAACTCAGTCCCTTTGCGATTGCCTTTGAGCAATGATCAAATATTTTGTAGCCCCAGCTCCATTCAGCCCATCTCCATGAGGCTATGTACCAGGCCCATGCCATAATGACTTCAACAACCCACTCTCAGCCCCTTGCACCTCAGGTCTGCTGTTTCGAGTATGCAAACTCATTACCCTGCCATGCATTTACTCTGAGTATGGGGCAGAAAACCCCAAAGTCTTGTCACTGCACAAGAGTAGTCGGATTTTAGAACCTGGCTTTGTTAGGCCTATATTTATACCAGAGAGCCTATTTGACACCACAAACCAATAAAACTTGGTTTCAATTTCTTTCTAAAATGTTTAAGTTGCTAGAGATCAGAACAAGTAATCAATCCCTAAATTCTAAAATTAAAGCATTAAAGTAAAGCATTAAAGTATAGTAAAGCATTAAATTAAAGAAAAAAAATATCCAAAGTATATCTTACAGAAAGCTCTGGTGACACTAACTTTGGAATATTAGAGAAATGAATGACAGCTATGTGATCACCTTGAACGGTCTCAAGATAGCATTCATATAACACAGAGACACTCAAAAAGAACATGTTCACTAAAATTCCCTGGAGGAGACTTTCCAAACAGCTATAGAAAATGGCAAGATTTTGGGATACTCATTCAAAACATAAGATATAGAATATCAAAAGTTACTACAATGTGGAATTGCTCTGTATCACTTTCAAACAGCAGGGGAATGAAGTACTTTCTCCCAGACGTAACAGATGTAAACATGGCCTTTAGAGAGAGCACAGAAATTTCATTTGCTGGTATAGTAAAGATTGCAGTTTAGTTGCAGTCTCCATCCCTCTTTTCTTTTCATTCAGATACTTAAAACTCATGACAGCAGACAGGATAAACTCAAAGTAAAAAAAAAAAAAAAGAGTATCAAAGCATGAAGAAGTAAAGAACGCCTTTGGGGAAAACTTATAGTTAGAAATCCTTGGGATTCTACAAGCCTTACTAACCAGCCACTCATGCTAAGTACAAAAAGCGCTCAGAGGAAGAGGAAAGATATGTTAACAAGAGGTACTACAAAAAGGCTAAGGAAAAAGACGTACAGCAAACTAAACCTTTAGTCTCTTTTTGAGAACCACAGAACTTGAATTTGAGAATGAAAATGCAGGGGCCCTGCATTTTCCTTTTCCTGAAGAAACGGGAGGCCCTGATTCTGCAAAGACTGATGCACATTCTTAACATTACATTTATGAATAGCCCATTAACTTCAAATTCCTTGCAAGAATAAAACAGAGGATAAAACATCATTTCTCTCAGGAGTGAGGGAAGACAACTATAAATGCGTCACAATTTTTTCATGTCACTTATATCCTCTTTATCATGGTACTTAATAAACCATTAGATTTTGAGGTATCTGCGTTTCATTTCTATATTTCATAAGCCATAGATATCTATCACACCATGTTTTGTTGATTTTTTTTTCACCATGTTGTTTCAGAAAACTAAACTTGAAACGTAGTTTCTGCAATAAAAATTTCCCCTCTGGATAGCATATTTAAAAGAACAAAAGAATAAAGAAGTCTGATTCTCAAATTTGCTGAGACTGCTGTCATTACTAAATGAATCAACTAATTGCGTGCTAAAAAACAATCTTATAAGGAAGGTATCCAAATGCTAATATTTCCCCACACTTCGGTGGGAATGAGTAATGCTAACTTTCTGCAACACAAACTGATTTGAAATAGCAACAAAAACTGATAAAACTGATTCAAACTGATCTGGTTTGGTTCCTCTTTTATAAAGGGTATTTTTTTTCCTTTCTGTTTTTTCCTGACTCATGAAAGACACCAGACAGTGATGTGGATGGTGTGGTGAAAGCTCTGAAAAAAAAAAATCTACTTAAGTCAAGGACTAAGGGAAGTGGTCACTCTGCGAGGTCATTTTCTGTGAGACTCTGTGACAGCTGGAGAAAATTAACCAAAATATCTGCATTCCAGAGAGGTATAAAAAGAAGGAAGAAAGGGAGGGGAGGGGTCAAATGTCTTGTGGAGACCTGTAGGAACAGCAATGGCATTTTCTGTATGGACTCGCTCGATCTGGTTTCCTGACAAAGTCCTACTAAAATAGGAGGAGATTTTTAAAGTCTCAGAGGGTAGTCAGGCACCCAGCTCCCTTAAAAGTCAGCAGGATATTCATTAAATGTGAACAGATTAGCTGCATTGGATCTTTTCTCCGATGCTGGCACAGGGACCACACAGAAATCCTATTCCTAACACTTTATTACCATTTAAATCTTTACAGATCAGTCACGCTTCCAGAGTAGAAGAACTAGGAAGAGAGCAATAATACCATGGTAATGAGACAGATTCTTTGGTTTTCATGTTCATAATTGTCAAAGCAATAGCCAGTAAATGACAAATTTGCTTCTGTACAGGTTCTGAATCCCTGATGTTGTTTTTTTGTTTTGCAATAAAAACAAAACAAAATTAAAAATAATTTCAAATATAATTTGTATTCTCTTAAAAAACACACACACGAGTTTTTATGTCAGGTAACTGTATTTCTCCCTGGTCAGAACCAAACCTAAACTTTAATGTCTGAATCCTGTCGAAATTAGCGTATTTCTTGTGAAACATTTTGACTCCGATAAAGCAGAATACTAATTGAAACCATACCTGCTTCCTTCTGAACGCTTCTATTCCCATGGATCTTCTGATCATTTCGGACTACTCTGCAAAAGCAAAAACAGAAAACAAAGTCTCTATGAGCTGAAGAAACTTGCTGCTGAAGCAATGACAGGAGAAATCAGTTCATACATGAGGGACTCTGAGGTAACAAAACTCTGCCCCAGCCTATCTGCAGATCCATGCTCAGGAGCTCCTTCAGTGTGAATAAGACAGACAGAAGGAATCAGGCAGGAGTCAGTAAATGACTCCCATAAGTAGAAGCAGGGATGCAGATTAAAGTGATTCAAAAGCAGAATTAAGATTTTTTTCAGGCTCCCAGCCATTACAGTTGAGGTAAAGACTTTAAAATAGCACAGCTGTCAGATGGGCAACTAAATGAGGGCCAGATTTTACAGACCAGTCTATATCTGTGAACTCCCACTACAAGATATTGAACCAGGCTGCCCTCCAAAAATCCATCTACCTCCTTAGCTTTACTGGGAAGCTGAGTCTTTCCAAAAGTCATGTGCTAAAAGGATAAACGTTTCTAAAAATGCTGAAAAAAGACAGAAAGACAGACAAATGCTACAAGCAGTTTAAAATATCGCAGTCTGATGCCAGATTATCTACAATAGTTACAATAACTACTTCCTACCTGCCACCAAGGCTATGTATAGTGATATGATCTGGACATTCCCCTTTCATGGGAGATTTCACATTCATTACATCAAGGATAATATAGCCTTAAGATACGCTAAATAGCATCCTTGGAGTATGTTGCAGAGGGATTTCATGTGATCTCTAAAACCTAATTCAGCAAGACTGTATTCTTCCCATTACAAAATACCAGCAGTATCCATCCCTCATAGCTTGACCATTTTGTTCTAAACCTCAGTCCTAAAGATAGCACAATGTCTCTCCTACTGCACTAACCTAATTTTCTCTGGCAGTTTATCTATTTTGTGGAATGAAATTAAAACAGTATCAGATTAAGAAAGACAAGTTTGATTATTTTTTTCCTAAAAAATCATTTAAACTTGCCCGTTCTCTCCTTTTCCTTCAGATGATAAATAGCTGCATGAAGGAAGAAAAAGAACTCCAAACTGAAAAAAAAAGAAGAAAAAAAAGGCGGGTGGAGGTATGGAAACTTGCACTACTAACCCCATTTAGTACTAGCCCCACTGCTAGTACTGCTTTGGGATTTGATATAGGTATTGTCTGGGATCAAAATAAATAAATAAATAAATTCACACACACACACACACACACAACCCCACTATTTGACCCCACTATTTGGAGAAAAGATAATGGTTTTAATTGAGAATAAAATAGTCCAGAATCACACCTATGGTCAAAGATAACCAAATTAAAACTGTTAACAACTATAAAGCTTGTTGCATCGACTTCTCTTTAAAATAATGTATTTCATTCTCTTACTTCTGTTTTATTTATTTTTTAAATGAACCAGAAGCAGAAGTTTGAAATGTCATGTGAAGCCTTGTTCTCATAAAATTGTTGCTTGAGTTTTACCTCAGTGAGACTCAGAGAACCTTAGACAATCTGTTTAGCTTGTTATCTCACCCAAAATGCTGAACCTCTTTTGAGAATTACTCACACCCTTATCTTTATCAGACACCTTTTTTTATCCATCACTGCCTTCAGGCCATCATAAAACCTTTCCCCACAATGGGGATTTTCTTGACCTGGTCATGACTGCTTATTTCTGCCATGAGAGTGCCAAGTTTGCCAGAACAACTTTCATGGGCACTCTGACTGCTTATTGGTGTTCGTAAGGAAGGAAAGGGAAAACAATTCATGAGAAGCTTGCCATATTTCTATCTTAGTATTTTTACTGCGGTTAGTTTGATTAATTTTTAAAAGGTAAATATTGAAATATGTCTATTGACATCCTATTATCTGTGGTTGTTTATATACGGAGGACAAATGCTCCACCCAAAGCCAAAATAAATGGGCCTTGTGCAGGCAAGTCCCAAATTGGTTGAGAGTGATGGGTTTCTCACCACAGGCTGCAGAGCTGTTCCACGCCTATTGCCGCATTCAAGATAGACTTTTCTGCAAAGATGCTATGTTTCACAGAAAACTTTCAGATGCAGTTAGTAGCTTTCAGCCTTGATTGAAGCAGTGTAAGTTTAGCAACTGATTCTTTGCTAACAGGAGAAAAATATGACTTACTGTTACATGAAGATATTTGGCTGTTTACCTACCCTGACTTTCAGACTCCTAATGAAACAGTAAGATGCATAATCTGACTTGTTAAACTTTATTCAAGAAGCCATTTTCAAATCAGCCAATTTTAAATAGAGGATGATATATGCAAAAGCCCTTCACAACTCTTTATTCATTTATAGATATTTGCAAATACAAAATACAAAATACCAAACCACAAAAGTATTCACTAATCAGTCTGCTTATTCTTCATAGAATTCTGTGTTTGAAAATATACTGTCTCTTTCCCAAACAAAAGGTATTTGTAGAGAATCAGCTACCGATAGATCCCCAAATTGGTAATTCAGTGTTCTGCTTGAGTAAAAAATCCACTTGTGTGATGTCAAACATTTACATTTATAACCAAATAGGAGCATAAGTATTTGAGAGATTAATGGAGACTAACACCGAAGCTGTGTGGATCAGTGAACTGTCCTGTCTGTGGCATAGTTGAAAACTGAATCAAACATATCATTAAAATTACCAATGTTTACCGTACTGGGTGATATAGTGGTATTTGCTTTCAGGCAAGAGCCTTCCTCATCATAAACCTATTTGTTCCGCATTATCATTTAAAGGAAGGATGATAATCTTTTAAATTATTTTCTGCTACCAGGAGGGTGACTACGTTATGACTATTTCTCTTCCATGGATCAATCTGCTTTGCCTTGCATACAGAGTAGACTTAAAATGCTACCATTAGCAATTTACACCCACTTGCCGTCCATAAATGACTTTCAAGGTTCAAGGCAGTGGATTGTAAAACTGCTGACTTCACTGCTGGAGCACTGAAGAAGAGAAGAAACTGGATGAGACAGAGCAAGTCCTAAATGCCTTCCATAATTAACAAACATGGCAAGACAAGTTATGAAAAACAAAGGAAGGCTGGACAGATTTATGCTTAAAGTCTGGTACTTTTGAAAGTCTGTCCAACTACAAAAGTCTCTTTTGATCTACATTAATTGAAAGCACTTAAAATTCAATCATACATTTATGGCCACATGTTTAAAACTGACTCCTAATCTTGCATCTGTAACCCACTGGTCAGACTGGAATGCCTTCCTTCTGCATTCAGCATACAAAGGATACGAATCTAATGACAGTCATCTTTAGTTCCAGCTGTAGAGTTTCAGACTTGTGGCTTTGGAGGTCCCTAAATTCAATCCTAAGTGGCATCCACAATGATAGTCATCACATATCTCCAGCCATTCCTGACAACAAGCACTCGTGGAAGTGATAAGCCATTTGCGGATAAAGACACTTGTCCTGGTTTGGTAACAGGGCAATAAGAGAACAAGATTCAACTCTGTATGACAGACTGCTTTGTGAGCTGACCTGAGATACAAAGAGCAATCTCTCTGTCTTTTTGTTCACTGGTAGGAGAGCAATGGAAAGGAGCTAGCAGTCTGAAGTGGCAGGTGGACAGCAAAGTAAAACCACCATGCATGTGGCTGTGAAGGGATACAGTAAACCTCTTTCTTAACCAGATATGGGAAAGAGGAAGAGCAGGGAAGCTGCAGAAGATGCAGTAGGGAAATAGGGAGTAGGGAAGATGCAGAAGAGCTGCATTTCTTCCCAAGGCAGCTCTCAGATTAAGAGCTGTAATGTAAACTTGATGTACTACTAGACAACAAGCTCCATCTAATGTTATAGGAACTGGCAAAGCAGAGAACTGCTTGCATAGATCACCTAATCTGCACCAGCGGTGACTGCAAGAGTAGCATTCAAACCTAGCTCTGAAACCTGTGATAAGGCAAGCCATTTGTTTATATTATATTCAAGATTCATAGTGCCTTACTTTTTCAGTTCCTCCCCAAACACCAAAAGATAAAAAAACGTGCATGAATATTTCATTACGTTATGTATGAGGAGGAGTTCTGTTAAACAGCTTGCATTATTGCACTGTCTTGACTAACGGTTTGTGTGACATGCATAAGGGAGACCAGATATTTGCAGCCATTATATGGAAAGATCTTTTGCCCAAGGACAACTTGTAAAACCCATTAATATGAATTGTGTCTGAGCTGATGAGGAAAAAAAGAAAACACTGAATCCAGACCTTCAATACTTTATTGGTGTTTCTGAACTTTTATTAGCTGTACTTGCTTCCATAAAATCAATTTAATAAGGCGACCAATGTTTTGGTAATGCATCAAAAGCAGTTCTCCTCTTCAAAGGGCATCTTTTTCACTCAATCTCTTCTCTAAAGACAGTGACATTAGTTTTGTAAATTAATAAACAGGCCAGCATCTGAGGACTGCATGAAGCCTCCATCACCCCTTATTGTGCTTTCTCTTCTGACCCCACTTTCCAGTGCAGGGCCCTCATCTCGACAACAATACCCTGAAAGCCTGTGTGGCACTCTGGGATCACACTTGAAAAGGCCTTTGGCTGAGGCTGGCTTTCAAGAAGGGGGGACAATTGGCAAGAGGCCTGTGGCTATTCATGCAGAACAGGCAGTGAAAAATGCCTGAAGTCAGTTTCAGGGGTGGGCAATGCCCAAAAAAGAAAGCCCACATAACATGAATGGCTGCTGCTAGGAGACTAAAACCAAAGGCATGCTACTAGCAGGCCTCCATGTGCCGACATCAATGGGTTCATCCTATCCCTATTAGGGGCCTAAAATGATGGAGAAACATGAGAAGGGACTATAAGCAGGAAAGGAAAATAATACCAAAGTACACAACGGTCAATGCTTATATTGTTATACTAAACACTTGGGAGAAGGAAATAATATTTTCTATGTTTAGTACCTTTTCTGTTAACAATAGTTACATCAGCTACAAAATCTAATAAGCGCAATAATTATGGTACATTTTCTTGGGGGAGGAAAGGTATGCACTTTCATAATTAGTTATTTCTCATGCACATAATTAAAAGAGATTATAAACACTTATTGGAAAAGCCAGGGCTGAGTTACGATTGCTCTAGACCTGGTGCTGGACCAGCTCCAGTCCCCCTGGATATGCGCTCACAAGTCCACTTCGGTTCAAACCTGGCAGTACCGGGCAGAGGGAACAGGAGGCCTAAATGTTTCTTAACAGCAGCCACCGGAGAGCACCACAAAAGTGTTTCAGTGGCATACAAATGACCCAGACCTCAACTGCGCTTCGGGTTAGTGAGCCTGAGGGGTGCTGTCTGCAGCGCAGATCCAGAGAGCCGAGAGGCCTACGGGCCCCAAAAGTGAACTGTGAAGAATTTTCCTCACCTCCAAGTCACCAGGTAGCTCTGTTTGGGTTGGTTTGTTTTCCCTTTTATAAAATTGAGCTACAAAGTTCCTGTACCCCTACCAATACTTCACACTGAAAGGCCTGGCATGGCCTGACGAGCGCTCCTGGTAGCAGACTGTCACTACCCCGGCTTAATGGCAGCAGCGCTCTGGAAACGCCACCTCGGTGCCTTCAGAAACAGCCCATCTTCTCTAAAATCCTTCCCACTTCAAATACAGTGTTGGCTCTTGGCTAGTGAAAACGTTGAAAAAAATAAATTACAATGTCTAGTCATGTTTGGACTTATTTCTAGGCATGATCTCAGCTCTTAAAAAATGATCATATTATTTAGTTTATGAGTAATAATGTCTGACTAAAAAAGGTATAAAACACCATATGATACCGCAATCAAGTGATTTATTTCAAGTGGTGATGTTTGTTATTCAGTGTGGAAGTTAGGAAACCTCCCCTTCTTGCTTTTGCAGTTATCTGTTCCCCGAGTCTGATTTTCCAAGCCATTCTCAGGCTGCTAACAACTGCCTGCATTGCCCCACGGGAAGGGAAGGGAAGGGAAGGGAAGGGAAGGGAAGGGAAGGGAAGGGAAGGGAAGGGAAGGGAAGGGAAGGGAAGGGAAGGGAAGGGAAGGGAAGGGAAGGGAAGGGAAGGGAACTGCAAATACTCCAGAAGCAAAACTGCTGTGGTCTACTGATACCTCAGGGAACACTTTAAATACAGAATTCAAAGCTACTTTTTTCTATCCATTTCCACTAAAAAAATCTAAATATATGATGGAGTAAAACTTACCTGCACCTGTAATCTTAAGTCACACTTGCATGTGCTTCTCTTTTCCTCCAGTAAATTTATTTTTTTATTTTTTATTTATTACTAAATTAAATTGCAAAGATTCAAGTAGCTAGGCACAGTCCCAAGAATACTGAAATATTTTTGGTTTTATAACTTAAACAAATGGATGCGGGTAAGGCTAAATGTAGCTAGGCTATTGCTCTGCCAAAGAAACAGTATGCCTTGTGCGGTTGTGATTCCTGTAGACTCTCAATGTCAAATATTTGGGATTTAATATTCAAAAGGAGGCAACCAAGTGAAGGTTTTTGTGACATTGGGCATGTCTGACCCTCTAAATCAAGAATTTAAAAACTCTGTCTGTTTCCCACATCCTGTCTCAAGGCCACTGCTTCTCTTCCTCTCTTCTTCATGGCTGAGCGAATCATTTCCCCTCCATCAAAATGATGCATCCTTTTGGCAGCTGGGACATTTGTAACACAAGGAATTGTATTTGAGACACTTATGGTTTCTTTTGAATGTGAGGTAGCGTGTAAAGTAGAAGAAGAGTAAAAAAATATGACATTCAGCCCTGCCTCCATGGATGAATCTAAATTTTCTAAATCTCTAAATCTGGGATCTTAAGCATCACTTTTTCATATCTGAAGTTACTAAAGAGACATGTACACACCACCACATGACAGGACGGATTTACTCTCTAGGACTACCGTAGGTACCTCAGGTAGGTATCTAAAATTATTTGAGAAGAATCTAGACTACAATGTTAGGCTGAATCCATTCCATACCAAACAGCAGGAATTTTTCTGTGTAAAAGTTGAATTTAACTTGCAGAGCATTTGGAAAATACTGGTGTGTGATCAAAGGGATATTTTCTCTATTTCTCTTATCTATTTACGTTAACAAACTCAAAATAATATATTCAGCACATATCAGAGTTAACAACAGAAAAAATATTTGAATGTTTCAAGTTTTTCAGGATTTCTCAATGGATTTTTAATATAAAATGCATCAATAGAAGGAGGATCTTCCCGGCTTTGGGTGTTGTGAAAAGTGCCTTCTAAAACTTGAAGAAATATAGCTTTTTTAAGTTAGTGAGGTCTGAAAGGAGAGGAGTGGGTGGTCTTAGCCCTTCAGAAGGTCTCTGATCCTCTGACCTATTAGACCATTAGTTCACCTAAACCAACCAATAGCTATTCAAGTCCATGAGTACAAAGAAAGGTGGTAATAAAAATAAATTATTAAACAAATGGACTAGAAATAAGCAGTTCAAAGTTTTTCTCCTGTGAAATCCAGAAAGTGCAAAGACTATTCCATTCTATCCATTCAATCAACATACCTACTTGAGATTGCCAAGAAAAAGTCAAATTAAACTAGTGTGGGTACCAAATGGGTACCCCACTATGGGAGTATGGTTTATTACTGACATTTAAAGTATGTGCTGTGTTTACACTCTTAACCCAGACACTCATTCGTTTGATGTTTAGCCGCTGTTTTCTGCTTCGGCCAAAGGATTTTGCATATTGCAGCCACAATTCCTGACTAACAGTCATTTAACTGCAAATACCAGGACTGTTGGGAGAGTGTGGAAGTCCCACATGGATCCCCTGGCTGGTCTACAGGGGCTGCTCTTGTGTGCATCTCCCAGCTTCAACTTCCTGCAGAACAAACTGTGGCTCTCTGACTTTTGGCCAAGCGTCCGTGAGGCAGAGTCTCATGTAACTTGCTGTTTCCTTGCCATCGAAAACATTGAGGAAAAGCAATACATTGCACTGGGTCTAACTTATCATCAGGTTTGGCCCCCTCTGATCTTTTTTTCTCTTTTTTTCCCCCAAAAGCATTCTCCAAGCATCTCATAACAGCAACCAGAGCCAGACTGCATGTGGAAAATGAGAATATCTTCCTAATACATAAACCATTAGACAGCACTTGCTCTCTATTTGAAAACCATAAATATGATGATTTTTTGGTCAAAAACCTTTATATGCCATCAGTTCAACCACAGAAAAGATGGAGTAAAAATATCTAACTATAGTATTGGCCCTAGTGATGCTAGCAATGGACAGTATTTTACCTAACACTGCATTGGGAACACATCTAAATTGCCTGCATCTTTCTATTTTAACCACAGCTGCACAGTAGCTTTAGTTAGAAGATGGATATATGAATTGCCAGCCTGTAGCCCCTTTGGAGTCAGCATGGATCCAAACACCATTGCATGTTTCTTGTAGTGTTACCATAGCACTCACCACATTTCCTAGGTTGTTTGGTCATTTCTTGGAGAGTCTCATTGCTATCATTTTTTTATTAGTAATTTTATTTAATCTATTTATTTATTTATTTTTGACAGCTGGTTACAGGCCCGGAAAAGAAAACTGAACTAAACTTCATGCCAAGAAAAATATTACAAAAAATAAGCTGAGTTGTCTGCCCAGTGAATCTACTCCAGTGGTCCTTTACTAAATTAAATGTGCTGAACTGATGTCAGTGGAAGTATTAACTCAGCAATGAAGGCAGGACTGGACTTACCTAGTCAGTAAGTGATTAAATTTTTTATAATTTGTATAACCTGAATAAAATCGGTACTTTGAAGATTGAAAATCCAGGTTAGTGGAAGAAATGTTATTGCCTGGGTAAGAAATAGTGATACAAGTGTGCATGAAATTAGATTTTGGGATATGTTTTGAAAACTGGTTCAATAAATGGCCATATAGAAAGGTTCTACATGCAATGGCAACACATTTTGATAGTGTTTAAAATCAGACTTGAGGTAAGGGATTGCCAGTTATTATTAATCACCAGTATCAACATTTCCCAAACCACACATTCTTAACCATTTCCTTGTCCAGGGCTGATTATTTTTACTGAAGTCTGAAGCTAACTATGCGCATACCTAAATCTAGGTACATGTATATAAGTGAGGGAACAAAGTCGACTGGACTTTGAACTTGAAGAAAATAACATCCTGAGTCTTGGACAGGAGAAGGAGTAGGTCCTAAGCACCTAACCTGCAGCAGGGGATTCCCTGCCCATCCTTCCCCTGGGTAGGTGTGCTGGCTAGACAAGACACAAACACCTGTGTGCTAGATCACCCAGCTCTGCTCAGACCTCTTCCCAGTTTGATTTCAGATAGTTTCTCATGATGGCAGTGGAAAAATAAACAGGGGATTCCACAACAGAAGAAAGCTTTCAACAAGATCTTCTCACAGTTTGCCTCGCTTGCTGCTCATTTTTTTTCCGCTTCCCCTTGTATAATTTTAAGGGCTGATAAAAACACTAGCTTTCAACCTGCAGAAAATAGCTGTGATATCAAATAATAGCAGGTTTTTATTAACTGAGTTGATGTTTGAAATCAGGAGGAATTCACATCCCCTTTCTATAAAGGGGAAACTCTCACACCAGTTTAGATCATCTACTTTTATAGGACTTTTATTGTGTCTTGTAATAAATCTACTAAAGACCTACATCAAAATGATCCTTTTCCCATAATAGGAATCAGTTCCCCTAACTTGATACATTAATTATCTAAAATCAGTTTTTTTCTTTTTTTTTTTCCTCCTTTGGATACAAGATAGGACTCCTTATTTTTCATCTTTTTTGAGACTCAAGATGATCACCAAATGTTTCTAGAGATCAGTCCAGTGAATGTTTCAGATTTATCAATGGATATTTGTATCTTTAGTATTTTAGTACATTTTGAGTATTTCACTGAAGAGTGAAAATATCAACTACTCAAAATCAACAAAATTCAGATATTAATGTCACAACATGATAATATTTCTTCCCTTTTGAAAGAAAGCAGACAAAATACTAGAAATAATGGCCTTACATCAATGCAGAATCACAGAATCACCCAGGTTGGAAGAGACCTCCAAGATCACCCAGTCCAGCCTCTGACCTAACACTAACCAGTCCTCCACCAAGCCATATCACTGAGCTCTACATCTAAACGTTTTTTAAAGACCTCCAGGGATGGAGACTACACCACTTCCATGGGCAAAGGAAATGGAAACACACAGGTTCTGCTGAGACTTGAACTCAGATCACTGGATTCAAAGTCCAGAGTGCTGCCCATTACACCACAGAACCAAATGCATATATTAGCAAAATCATATAAGGTTATAACATGTAAAATAACATAATGCTTATGATGACTGTAGCAGAGCAATATATGCTGCATCATCCAGCTCATGTTGGGTGGAAAGCAAAAAGACATTGTTTGAGCAGGTAAGAAATTATCTCCAGTTCCCTGAAGCAACTTGTTCTAGACAGCACCCTCCAAGGATGTTCACCTTTGTATCAAAACCCTTATCTCCAGAAGGCATGGAGGAGTGATCACTGAGGCAACACGCCAGTTAAGATGCAGAAAAACAGATCTAGGTTAGAAGAAAAAAGAGAAAGTGGAAAGTGGAGGTAAGAAAACATCTTCATTTCCAGTTAGAGAAAGCATTTTCCATTTCCATTCTTAAGAAGTAAGAATCATAGGGCATGGTTTATTTTTCTCCTTGTCTATTTTAATTAAAGATAGGGCAAGTTGGGGATGGATGTGTTTGATCAGGAGTTTGGTAAGCACAACCCCTCTGAATTGACATAAATTTGTTGACATAAATCTGTACCAGAGCTGGGACAAATTCTTCACTGACTTCACAGAATCACAGAATCATCTAGGTTGGAAGAAACTTAGCAGGCTAACAGAGGATATTCCTCAGCATTGCCTTTAATTGTTTTCTGCTGGCAAAAAATAATAATAAAAAAATTGAAAAAAATGTGTTGAAATGTATTTCTAAAAGTCTGCAAGGGTGAAGTGTGTTTTGGTGGGATTTCCATGCTGTTGGTTGGGAAACAGCATCTAGAGTACCCTGATCTTGACAATCTACCTTGAATTTAAGGCACCCTCTGTTTATTTCAGATTGTCCCTTCCTGTAAAGCACATAAATCCAGAAGCAAGGCACAGGGCAGGACAGATGCTATCAGACAGGCCAGCAAAGGCCAAGCTAGCACAGGAGCACACTCAGGGTAACCACAATACAGACAGAGACACTCAGCTAGGCAGTGGCAAGCCACATCCAGCCACATTCCCAGGCTCTGGAAAGCAAAACAAACATAGTCCAAATGCTGTGGAACAAACCTGGGCCCATGAAGTCCAGACTGAATGAAACAGAGCTTAGTGCAAACATGGTCCAAAGGCAATGGAAAGCAAACTCAGGCAAATAAACTCCAGGCTCTGTGAAACAGAGCACAGATAGACGCACTCCAAGCACAAGTAGAAAAGCAAACAGAGACAAATATAGTCTAAACTTAATGAAGCAGATAAATGAAACAGTAGCTGTCTCACTTTCCAAGCAAAATCTAAGCAACTTACTCCAAAATCACCAAGCTGGAGCAACTGTGATTCTTTTACAGGCAAGCTACAGAGTACTCCCTTCCCTTCTCGTATCTTTCATGTCATGCACTGATATTCAGCGTGGTAGACTTTCATTCTTCACTCTTCAATAATCCACAGTACCTGTTGTGGATCAATGACTCACATTTCTGCATTCCTTCATTAAAGCTTTGGGAGTTTCAAGGCAATCTTAAAATGGAGCAAGGAGACCTTACTTGTACATATCCAGGGCTATTTTTCTGCACATAAATCATGTTGTTTAACAGGTAATGAAATAGAAACAAAGGAGACTCAATAAATATTAAAAGCAGTAAAAAGCAGAGAATAAGGGAAGCTAAAAACATCAGTTTTCTATACTTGAGAGATATACTTACAAACATGAGAAAGCTTCTACTGATCAATGTTTTTTGGAGATAACACTGGTAGTGATAGAGATGAGATAAACATCCAGTAAATATTTCTATCCCGTATTGGAATACAAAAGGATAAAGTAATTTTTTCAGTTGAGGATAATGTCCACTAATTCAGCAGAGGATGGCAAACAGCGTCAATTACTGCTAAACACTTTAAATCTGGCGGCCCAGACACTTGGCCCCCAGCAATCCTGTAGATCTGTCTGAAGAAAACTTCTGGCATATCTTTAAAGTATCTTGGAATACCAGGAAGATTCCCATGAAATACAAGAGTGCTGTATTCAGAAAGGGCAGGCAGGATGACACAGGCAGCACCAGGTCAGTAAGGTTGACCTCAGCCTTGGATAAAATAATGAATCAGTTGATGTAGGAGTCAACTAAGAAGAAAATAAAGGAACGAAAAAGAATTCATGTCATTCAATGTATTTAACAAGAAATGAATCTTGTCAAACAAACCTGATTTAATTCTCAATAGAGATTGCAAATAATTCTGTAGTTGTAATGTACAACACTGATTATAAACAGTGTCACAAAATGACAATAAGGCACCAGTTAAATGCATTGGAAATGGGCTGAGTAGTTCTTATGCAGGGAATCACAACTGACTTGATAGCATTTTAGGGTATTGTGCCATAGCCTAATCCCTTTCAGTGTTTCTGCCAATGTTCCAAAATCAGTTAACAAAAACATTTGTTAAAACAAACAAAACAAAACAAAACAACAAAAACCACAAAACAAAACAAACAAACAAACAAAAATACCACATACCTTGTACCTCTAACAAGGACTATCAGAAAAATAAGTAAAGGTAAGAACAGAACATTCAGAGAGAAAAATCTGGAACAGGGTTAAATGTTGACCATCTTACCAATGAAAATGGTTCACCTGTATGACAAAAATAATAGACGAGTGTAAAAACTGGTGATCTATAAGATGGAGAACAGTGCTGCTGAGAAGGACTTAGAGCTAAAGATGCAGGTAACTGCACAGGCAAGACTGAAATGCTGAGGCAGAAAGGATTATCCTTATTGTTGGAGAGACAAGGAGAAGCGTGAGGAGGAAAAGCAGAATGGCTGTACCCCTTAATAGGTGATGGGAAACACTGCCAAGACAGCATCTTAACTTGCTGAGGGAAAAACCCAGCTGTCCTGGGGGGCCTAACACTGTCAGTAGTTACACCTGGCATAGGTGTATGAGGGGCCAAATCCAAAGCATGCAGTGGGCTGCTCCTTGCTCTTGTTCAACTGCTGCTTCCCAAAGCAGGCTGCGAACAGCAGCACAATAAACAGAGGAAGTGGCTGGGGACCTGGACCCCTGCTCATGTCCCTTGTGTTCATAAGCCAGTCCTGCTTATGAACGATTTGTGTAACATCTAGACAGGTCTTGCAGGCTGCCTTGCTCAGTAGCCCTTGCATGGTGGATACAAGTACATGGTGCCAGTAAAAACATCTATCATTTTACATGAAGCTCAAATTACCAGCTTCACCTACCAGCTTATTATGCTTTCAGAAGTCAATTCCAATACTCACTTTGGCAGTTTCCACTAGATTCAGAATAATTTAGTTGCTCTAAAATAGCCAAGTAAATGTGATCTACCCTAAGGGATCTAGTCTACCTCTCACCTACAAGAGCAAAAGAAATGCAAAGCCAAGGTAACTAAAAACCCTCAGTGCTACCCAAAACAAGCAAACAAACAATCAAAAAGTACCCCTTTTGTACTTTTTTATTCTTTTCTATGTTAGCTAGATATCATTTTCTTTGTTCCAGGAGAAGACGCTTGAGTAAAACTTCAAAGCAAATTTATTTTCCACTTGTGCTTTACTTTACAAAACCATTTTTATCACTTGCAGTCTACTTCGAATTGCAGTTTCCTGCCACCTCTTTTGTTTTCTTTGCAAGCACCATGTGCTGTGTAGCTGAGCTGGGTTTTTATTTTGTGCTTAGCTGCATGGCAAACTGAACAGTTTTGCTGTTGTCTCTAGTGCTTTAAAGTTGTAATTATTATGTACGTAATATATTACTTGATAATGTATGATAAACCTGGCCACAGCTGATGGAAATTAGGACAGCTCCACTGCTGAGCTATGCCAATTATATGTATTGAAGAACGAACCCATGAATGAAAAATTAAAAGGCAGTGCAGCTTGCTTTAGCATTAATAATCAACTAGCTTTGGTTTTCTCTTAAAATAATAATTCACTAACATACTATTTTGTTTCCTCTAATTGAGAAAATACAATAGAAAAAGAAGGCTTTCTTTCTAGAAATCTAGAAGGAAAGTGGTCGTGGCACTGAGCCTGCCAGAGTTCAAGAATCATTTGGACAAGGAAGAAAGCGTGCAAAAGAAAAGAGGCCTACAATCTTCTTATGCTCAGTGACTGTTCATCCAACAGCCACCAATGCAGGAACACAGGAAGCAGAACCCAGGATCCCTCCCCAGTTACTGACCAAGGTCTCTCATTAGTTGTGTTCTCCTTGAGTTCACCTTCTCTCAGCCTCTCTGCTCCAGCGAGTCCTTTTGACAAAGTAGAATGGCTTCACCAGGAGGGATTAGAAGTGCTCCCTGCTCCAAGTATGGTTTAGCGGTTAGGGGATCCTCAGGGCAGTTGGGCCATATGGGCCTGAAACCCAGCCAAGAGAGCAGGGAATGGGCTATTCATATTCTGGGGTTGTGAATACTGCATAAAATGGTTTGGCAGTACTTTCTTGGCGATACTTTCAAAGAAAGGAATGATCTCCATGATAGTTTCCAAGAAAATGACATAAGTACCTTATTCCAGGAAAGGTTTCAGGGAAATACCTCGCTGCAGCTCACAGTTAGGCACTTAAACCCAGGAGAAGGAGCTGTAGAATTGAAGTTGTTTCCTACTGAACAGCAAAGGAGTTTCTGTGCTCAGGTCACTCACTACCATGAGGCCCACCCTGAGGCAGTTCACTTTTCCCGTTCATCTTATGAGGAACAGAGATACGTAATTCTGGGTTCTGGATTACACATGCTGAGCCAGATCCATAAAAGTTGCAGAATAAAATCAAATAGCAAGCACCAAAATCTGAAAGACCTGAAAATCTGACTTATGTAAAAGGAACAAACAGCAGACTCTACATTCAGTGGCACATTATCCACAAGTACACAGTAATACCAGCACAAGTGCAGCTGAACGCACAACTCGAGAAGAGCAAAGGATGCTGGATTGTTGGAGAGCTCAGAAATGCAATGCATGTATGTGTGTACACACAGGCAGAAGTGTCAAAGCAAGTCTATGCTCCGTTCCCGTGGGGCATATTATCACCATCTGGGAGATGATTGATATTTATTTGTCTAGCTTATGCATACACACCAGCACTGTGTTTTAGATGAAGGCTCTCAAGTTATATGGTAAAAGGAACAATAAGACAACCTGCTGACAATTCCAGCTCAGACTAAAAGAAACAGCCAGGAATCTCACAGCTTAGAAGTAACTCAAAACAGTTATTCACCCATACATTTTCACTTCAGTGATAAAATGGCATGTTTCTCTGTTTATATACTACTTAACTTCGCAGGGATGTGGAATGTGTGCTCACATTTTCATTATTTAGACTTAAAGTACATCAGACAAATAGAAAGGCTCCATACATTATCTGGAAAAAGGAAGGGTTGGACTGAACCCCTATTTTGACCTTGATGTTTTTTGTTCCACTTAAACCAAATGAGTTTGGCCCACAAAATTTTGCAGCAGCTGTGAGGTTCTGCCGTTAGTTTATATAAGCTTTACTGAGTTTATGCTTGGAGAGTGCTGAGTGGTTAGGGGGATACTACACACTAAACTCTTGCCTCTTTTGGGAAAAAGTGTATTAAGCTGTCATTTTTGTGTGCATAAATAGGAAATGTTGAATCAACTTCTGACTTTCTAGACATCTCATTTGTTTTTCAGTTGCTTTTTTTTATTTTTATTTTGAGGTTTGATAATTTACTTGGTAACTTTGAACATTTGCAGGAAGAAAGCCACCGAAATGCCATTCTACCATTTGCTTGGGAGCACTGCTGATGGAAGGTACAGATGGCACGCATATGTAAAGAAACTGGGAGATTCAAAGATTTGCATGACCCTACTCCTCTTCTGCTTACTGAAAACCCATTAAATGTTAATCATAAGAGCTTGGACCAGAATTATTATATATCAAATGGTGTCTCCCACCTACTAACCTTTACTTCAAAAAGTCACAGAGCAAGATATGATTATACTGTGCTTTCTAATATCTTGGTAATGTTTATTTCTACATTCTAAAACCTATCTCAGTCCTGAATTCCAGATACTCACCAAAAAGGGCCAGATATTGGAAAGTACTTTGACTACACTAAGAAACCCTAGTCCATCACCTTCAGTAAATACTTACCATTTTTTGATGACAAACTACGCTCCATCAGCTAAAGCACTTGGGTAAGATAGTGGGACAGCTTGCCTACCATACTGAGTTCTCATTTAATGTACCACAAACGTCTACTGAAATCCCACAATCAAAATCAGATACATAACTCTGTGCAGCTTCCTTGTGTGGTGCAAATGACTAAGCAGGACACAAGGCAATACAGAGCTGTGTTGGTGGGCAAAGTGCTCAATTTTATGCTGGTGTACCTCCAGCTTTTCAACAGAGTTGCACTTGAATAAAGCCAGACTAATACAGTGGTGAGACAGACCTGATATATCTGCAGTACCCTGTGTCTATGATTACAGCTTAAAAGATCTTCTTCAAGTAAAAGAGATGTTTCGATTACTTATGTCAGCAAATGAAACCATCATTTTTTTCTTATGGGTGGCAATTATTTCATTCTTGAAGATTACTCCATTATGCACCTATTCAAATGAGCATATTACATTTAAATATTAGCAGTGACTCATGGACCACTAACAACTGCAGGATCCCAGATGATGAAAAGTTGGAAATACATATTTTTACAGATCCTTTTTGTGGTTGGTATCTTTAATAATGCCAAATGATTTACCAGCGTTTCTTAAGACTAAAGCAGTAAAGACTCCCATCTGTGAGAGGGCTGATCCAGCTTGTTCTCAACTTTTTTGAGTCAGTTTATTATCATCTGGGAGTAGTTCTCAGTCTGGTTCCTCTTCTTCTTCTCTTTTTTTTTTTTTTTTTTTTTTCTTTTTTCTTTTTAAGCTTTTGGTTTTGGGAGATACCATAAAAAGAGTAAGTCTAGAACTGGAATGAAGGCTAAGGGCTTTTTTAAGGGCTTTTAGGATTTTTTCATATAAGAACAGATCTTTGAAGAAAGGTTAGGATTTGCACAAAGCAAAGAATACAGATGCTTTCTTCTTTTTCCAGCTTTTTTTTTTTTTTTTTCCCTGCAAGAACCAGGAAAATTTGAAAGCTGTATGAAGAGGATGTAAACTGAATCAAAATTTAACCTTTATTGCCCAATCACTCACTTTCCCCTTTTGTTTGCATAAGAAATTTTGATTTTCTAGAAAGTACAAGAAGTGACAGTATCAAAATGCAACCAGAAAGGTATTTTTGTGGCACAGCTGATCCCAAACAGGGCTTCATTGCAGCCTCAAGCAACAGAAAGCCTAATAAGATTCCAGGTCTCCACCCCTGATGGCCTCTCCCAGGTACGGTGTTGTTTGCTTGGACGCGCTTCCCACTCCTAGCAGCATTTTTTCCTGAGATAAACAGCAGCAACAGATTGCCAGCCTCCAAAACTGAGAAGTGGTTTTACAGGAGCAGAATGAGGAGAAAAAGTAGGTAAATGAATATGAAGAGATGAGAGAGTTTGGTAGGGAAGGCCGATAGGAGGCTGTGGAAGAATTTCACTTGGTGATGCAGGGTTATAGGGTCCTCAGTGGTAAGAGAAAATGGGAGATGAGGCCAGACAATGGATTTTTGTGCCAAGTAAACAATCTCCACACTGCAAGAATATTAATTTCTTCAGCAATAGTTTGGAACAACGTGTGTGAGGGACATCTAAATAACCACATAAGCTGTTCTTTAAAAACCTTCACCACTTCATTCTTCTATCCTTTAACTCTCTAAAGTTTTCGTTAGTCAAATCCTTTCTTTCACATTTCCCATTTCAAATTAATATTAAAATACATTCAAACTGATGGCCTGGCCTATTCAACTGGTGAATACTTCAGAGCAGCAAGCTAAGAGTTCTCTCCCTGTGACCAAACATTTAAAAACAAAGCAGGTACATTGATCTCTCAGGCTTCACTTCACATCATAGCAGCCAACTGTTTCAACTGACAGAGAGTCAAGCCATCATCTCCCAAACCACAAACATACAACATCTTATTCAGAGTGAAATAAGAGACATGTTTCCTTTTGACAGTTTGGGGAACAGGTGGGGAAAATTGTAGTGTCATTCTGAGCGGTTTCTTTTTGGCTAATTATTACCTATTGTCTGTGCTCCTACGGCTTTTGTGACCACTATCAACAGACGTAACCTTTTACATTCTTTTATTAACCATGAAGAACAAGTGTTAGGTGCAAAATAGAATACACGAATTTCATTGCATGTGGGAGTGTGCTATTTTAGTTTTAATTCCATGTTTTAGCCACTTTCCATTTACACTGGTCCTGGAGAACTTCTATGCATTGGAGAACGGCATGGCATGGTCTTAATGCATGTGGGCAGCAAACTGCACTCTGCTTACACAAGAATCTCCACATGCTAATGACATGACTGTTTTTATTGTGCCTGACTTTTGCTTCCCTTTTCTAAAAATAAAAATAAAAATCTACAGCTAGAATAAAACACCCAAAACCACTAATCTTCCTGGATATGGGCCAGTTGATACAGGGTGAGAATCTAGCCTCCCAGAATTATTCACTTGCTCAAGTACTTGTTCGTTATTAAAATGACACTCTCAATCTTACTGCTACTACTCTGAGTTTTGTTCATTCTATTCTTATCAAAAATCTCGTTAGAAGTTTCCATGAGAAAAGACAAAGCATGCAAGTATGCAGATGTGCCCAAGTGTAAAACACATTTGCACTCAAAACAACCTCAATTTCAAGATTCAAATCCTACTTCCTACATGTTGATTTTGCTCATCTTCCTGATACTCAGTCTGTGTTCTAATACTCAGTCTGTGCTCTTTTTCCTTTCCAGTCCAAATCTCAAGCTTCATCCTTAATTGCACGTTCTATTTCTAACTCAAAGCTTGCAAGCTCTAACTCAAAGCTTGCAAGCTGATGAGCAAAGAAACTGCCCAGTGCCTCACAGAAGGTACGTTTGGTAGGCTGCCAGGTCAGTTCTTTACACTGTAAAGACCTTGGGGTTGGGGCCATATCTCCGTTTATGTTTGTGAATAATCAAACACATGTACAGCACTCTGGGTCTGATCCTGTATATCATAACACCAGTGATGTGGGACCAGATGCTATATGAACAAATGGGAATCTGTGGCATTCATATAGTGCCTTTTTTTCCAAGGAACTCAAAGCACTTTACAATCTTTAAGCCTCACCACATGCCTGTGGGGTACAGCAGGGTAAGTAGGCCTGTAGCATTCTTTATAGAGCCAAGTACATTTATTCAAATGTAGCTGAATAATAATAATGCAACCATGACCTTCCATGACACTTACGTTCCTCAGGAACAATGAAACTGTCAGCCACAAGGGTGAGACTCATGAGTCTGGGTGACAAAACTTTTTCGGCAGCTGGCCCATGACTGTAGAACTCACTTCCGTAATAGATTAGGATGACCACGAACTTCACCGCCTCCAATGCAAAATGCAAAACTTACTTCTTCAATTTAGTTTTCCCACCCTATCAACAAGTAAGCAAAACAACCTTGATGGAAAACAAGAACCTTTCTATAGGGTTTTGTTAGTCATGCTACAGATTCTAACAATTACTTGCTCCACTAGAGGATTTGTTCAGCATGCTTCAAAAAAAACCTTTTCAAGGATTTCATTCTTAAATAGCTTCCAGAGATTTTTAATTCATTAAAATGAAGCATGATTATATCCTTAAACTTACTTTAACAAAATTAATTTTGTAGGGGTGAAGTAGTGGTGAAGAAAGGGAATTAACCTCAATTTCTTTAAAATATGTTTTTCTACACCGTTATGAATCTGTGTATACTAAAAAGTAATATACGTATTTCCAATCCAATAATGCAAGTGGGGGAGACATTTAACAAAGACCACTCCCTTCAGAAGCATGAAAACAAATGAAAACCAACCTGCAGGAAATATTTGGAAGCTAAGACACCAGACTACTTCTCTGGGAGTAGTATGAACTTTGGAAATTTGGGGGTCAAAGGTACAACTATCTATGAAAAAAATCTGTGCAGTAGCGATTAATATTGGCACATTGAGCAACACTCTCATCACATACATGTAGTGGAATGGCATGTCACAACACACGTGTTTCAAACTGGCCATTTCTCAGAGATGGATGTTAAAATATACATTTAATTTAATGCACTGATCACTGTGTAATGTGCAACACTGCTTTGATTCCCAACTGGTTTACCATCTTCCAGTGACAATTTAGGGCATTAAAGTGAACAGAAACAATTACTGTTCCTCACACAAATGTCTTTGTCGTCCACTCTAGTTTTACTAAGATGCCATTTTCCCCCCTTGTTTCCCAGTCTCCTTACTCTTTAGCAAGCACTCCTCCATCCCCTTATGTTCCCCCTGTGCATATAGTAAGGCTGGAGTTGCCACAGTCTCCTTAATGTCTAATCCTTTAACACTGGGAGAGCATTGTATTGCAGCCCTAATGCAAGGATGAATTCTGGAATGTGGAGCCTGGAGAGAGGCTTATAGAATAAGAAAGAAAGAAAAAGGGAAGAGGAAAAAGGAATTGAGAAGAGAAAGAAGTCAAAACCACACATGGGACAGAAGGAAAAAAAGGGGATTAGGTGACAATATCCGACTGCACTGAAGGGTCAGGAGAATTAAGCTTCAGAGCAGCTTGCTCAATGTGTGCTGGGATAAAAAGACTCTGATATGAATGGAGGTGGTTCAAGTGCAGGCACATTGTGGAATGCAATAGGAGTCTGCTAGGGAACATTTAAGAGAGTTGTGCACCACTTTCATGTAGCAAATAATATATATTGTTTGCTGGGCAAAGATCTGAGCCTCCCTGTCACTTTTACAAGGTTGTTACAGAGGAACTAGAAA